AATCGAAATATGTAACCGATAAAACAATATTATATAACTCAAAAAATCGAAATATGTAACCGATAAAACAATATTATATAACTCAAAAAATATGAAAATTTTAATTTGTCAATATATCATAAAAATCGTAACATTATTTTTGATAGATAATCACATTAATTGTATGAAATATCCAAAATTTCCTAATGTGGTTTCAAGTTAAATTAGAATATTTTAATAATCATCTTTAAAATATAACCATTTAATCTTCTTGTAGGTTTAAATTCGGTGATCCCGGACTGTCTACAAAATAGGTGATCATTCTGAGATTAATCGGCTCACATAACATGTTGAATATTCAGATTAATAAAAACAGAAAAACATAACCATTTAGAGAAAACCTTATTTCTGTCCCTAGATTTTGATTCTTAAAATTTGTTAATATAATTTTGTTGTTTGCTTGGTTTTAATCCTTCTTCTTAACAAATTAATTTATATTTCTATTAACCTAGTTAATTAATTAAGAGGGTATTTTTGTCTTTTATTCTTTTTTTTTGTCTTTTTTCTTATTAAATTTAAATATTATTTACTATATATATTATTTTATTATAATAATATATTAATATATAGGGAATCTTGTTTTGAGAACTCATTAAATTGTGATAACTTTGAAAAATTGTGATAACCTTGAAAAATTGTGCATCATGTGTTATTTTCATATTATATTTTTTTTTATCTGAGAAAAATATTTTAAATATTTATTACCATATGATTGTTTCACGTGTATTCGGTTCACAATATGAACATTTTGTACGTGTTTGTAGAACAAAAAAATACACATAAAAAAACATTTCACATTGTGAACCAAATACATATGAAATAAACATATTGTGAAACAATTATATAATAATCAATACATTAAATACTATATTTAAACGAGAAAAAACATGTGAAACAAAACTTAAGGTGAAAGTTCTCATAGATGTCACAAAATTTAGAGTTCTTAAAAGATTAAACCTCTTAATATGTATCTATACTATCTTATAAAATATTTGGCTAAAACTCTTAAAAACTCTTAAACCGTTTCATCCCTAAATGATTTCATCTCTATCCGATTTCATCCCATATCTGAATTCGTGTAACTAACTGTAGATAAACACAATCAAATACATGATAAACATCTCATTTTAAATATAAAAAATCTAAAATATAATTAGTATAGTCATTAAATTCTAACAGAATATTTAATTATTATCTTTATAAAATTT